ATATATATATATATATATATATTTAGATTTTAAATGGGTACGAAAGGCCTCTGGGGTTATCTTGAGAGTCATGGGCTCATCTCGCAGGCTCGAGGAAATAAAGGAGGAGAGGCCATTATGGAGCCGAATCATCTCTTAATTGATATGAATGCTCTTGTGCATAGTGTCATTGTTCGAGATCAACTCACATCAAGAAAAGTTATACAAGATGTGATCGCATCTATTAAACGAATCTTGTTGTTATTTCCCCCTACAGAGACATTTGCTTTGGTATTTGATGGAGCAGCACCTCTTGCAAAGTTGCGTTTGCAGAAAGAGCGACGTGGTGATATGGGAATTCCTAAAGATATGTTACAACCTTCAAATTCAACAGTGGGATCAAGGTATAATCACAATTATCATGAAAGAGAAGTAAAACTTCGGAGAGAAGAAGTATTGACGGGATCAGAGTTTTTATTGGCCTGTGAAGACGCCGTACGATGTGCACTAACTATAGAGAGTGAAAATGGTCAAAGTTTTGTAAAAAACCCGGATTGTACTATTATCATTAGTGGTTGTACAGAGGCAGGTGAGGGAGAATTAAAAATATCGTCTATACTACGAGAAATTTGGATGAAACAACAACAAACAAATACTTACACAGGAGAAGATGTAATTATTGTTTTTGGAAATGATTCAGATTTGGCATTAATTGGTATCGCATGCACTCCATATCAAAGTTATTATATTGTTGATCCAGTAGACTTTGCCATGACTGATGTTGGAAAACTTTTTGAACATTGGAGACGTAGTGTTCCTAATGGACGTTTACCATATGCACTCTTGCCTTCCTATCGTATTGATTTTCTCTTTCTTACATTACTCAGTGGAGGGGACTGGTATGAAGGTATTGGTAATACCAGTAGACAATTATGGCGTCGATATCGTGATCTTCGTTTGAATGGAGGTTATTATAGACGTTCACTCATATCTGGAGAAACATTTGATATAGATATTGAATTTCTCCGATCGGTGATGGATGTAAAGACAGGTATTTATAGTAATGGTCACCCATCAAAAAATAAACAGATAACCATGCGGAAGGTATCTTCTTTACCACCATCCTCTGTGGAAGGTGGAGTGGATTTGTTAAAGGGTGCAATGTGGGCTCTTAAATCTATAGTGGCAGGACAATGTTTTGATTATAACTTTCGCGTACAACCAAAGAAAACGACTATGGGAATGCTTAAAGCTGCAGCATATAAAAAGAAACTGACGGAGAGTATTCGTCCAGTATCCACTTCACCTATTCCATTGTATTCTCCATTAGAACAATGCTTAGCAGTAATGGGTAAACGTGGTCGTTATTCTCAAGAGCTTATTCGTGCAGTAGTGGCAGTAGGTGAGAATGGTGGACATACGCTTACAATTTCCCACTCCACAACGTATTTGTTAAAACAAGTACATCTCATAATAGCAGAAGTAGATACGGCTAAACTTACTTTGGCGGAACATGAATTGTTAAAGGCTCAACATCGAGTTGTTTCCGTTGATGGAAATGAAGAATATCCATCTATCACATTCATGAGCTACAAGTATTCTTCCTCATCTGTACCGGCAGAGAGTAGTGATAACAAGGAAAATAATATAAGCGATTAAGAAATTCAATTTTTTTTTTTTTTCGTGTTTTGTTTTGATTCTTACAATTATGATTATTATTTTTCTTTCCTTTTGTAAAGGAGAATGAATGAGACTTAAGAACCCCCTCCCCATAAAAAAGAAAAAATAATAATAATAATATTTGTATATCATAACGAGATTTAGCGTATTATTATTATTATTATTATTTATTTATTTATTTATTTTTCTTAATCCATTTACCTTATACGTCTGTTCATCCTGTTGTTCTTTACACTAGTGAACTGAAGAGAGTGTTCTCTGTAGACACAGAAAACAAAAAGAACAGCAATAAAAAAAAAAAAAAAGGAGCAGAGTCAGATAACGGAACGAAAGAAACAACAAAGAAAAGACTATAAACCCGAAAGAAAACATATTCGCAACCATCATGCTAGCTGGGCGACCTATTTCATTTTTACGTTCTTTTACTGTCCCACACACAGTGGTTGGGGCTCGTCTCTTCTCTTCTCTCAATAACACCAAAATGGATTTTCTCTTTAATCCAACTCCGGAGCACAAGATGCTGCGTGAGACAATTTCTCGTTTTGTGACGGAACGTGTTGAACCACAGGCGCGGCAGAGTGATATTGATATGCACTTCAACACAGATCTTATTCGTGAACTCGGTGAACTCGGTGTGTTGGGTATCACCGTACCTGAAGAGGATGGTGGTGCTGGTATGGATACAACTGCTGCGGTAATTGTACACCACGAGTTATCTAAATCTGATCCCGGTTTTTGTTTAGCCTACTTGGCTCATTCTATGTTGTTTGTAAATAACTTTTACAACTCCGCTACAAAGGCACAACGAGAGAAATGGTTACCAAAAGTATTAACCGGTGAACATATTGGAGCTATGGGTATGTCAGAACCTGGTGCTGGTACAGATGTGCTGGGTATGTCCACTAATGCTATCAAGGTAGGAGATGGGAAATTTATATTAAATGGATCGAAGATATGGATAACAAATGGTACAGTAGCAGATCTCATACTTGTGTATGCAAAGGTAGATGGTAAAATTACTGCTTTTGTGGTGGAAAAGGGAATGAAAGGATTTCAGGTGGGTGCTAAAATTGACAAGTGTGGTATGCGTGGTTCACATATGTGTCAAATATTCTTTGATAATGTTGAACTTCATGAAGAGAATGTATTAGGGGGTGAGGGAAAAGGTGTAGTAGGAATGATGCGCAATCTTGAAATTGAACGTCTGACACTGGCTGCAATGTCTGTTGGTATTGCAGATCGTTGTGTGGAATTAATGACACGTTATGCAAATGAACGTAAAGCGTTTGGTCAACCTATATGGCATTATGGACAGATTCAACGATATATAGCGGAAAGTTATGCAGAGACAGAAGCGGCAAAAACATTAACGTACAGTGTAAGCCGCACTGTTTGTGTAGATACAAAAAATCGTCTTGGTAGTGATGCGGCGAAGTTATTTGCTGCGCCTGTTGCCAAAAGAGTGGCGGATAATGCTATGCAGGTGTTGGGTGGAATGGGATATTCACGCGATATGCCGGCGGAGCGGTTGTGGCGTGATGCGAAACTGTTGGAAATTGGCGGAGGTACACTGGAGGCACATCATAAAAACATTGCGAAGGACCTCATAAAGGAACTGTGAATCAAAAAAAAGAAAAGAAGTTATTTTTTCTTTTTTTTTTAGTTTCTGTGTCTAATGACTCCCCTGTGAATGAGAAATAGAAAGAACAATAAAAGAAATGTGGGGAAGGGACGTTAAGGTGTATGTTCTTTTTTTTTTTCTTTTTTATGCTTCTTTTTATACGAAACTGCCTTCGTCATTGATTTATATATAAAAAAAAAAAAATACATGTATATATACATATATATTGCTTGTGTGTGTGTGTGAATGTCTTTTTTTTTTGTAATTTTATATCGATATTCTGTCAAGAGAATGGGGTATTTATTTGTTTAAAAGGAAAAGACGAACACACAGACAAAAAAAAAGACATGATACTTACTGAAAACGAATGAATTTGCATTGAACGGTTTTCTTCGCGAATGGGTACGGCAGAATATATGTTTGAGTGAGATGATCTCAGAAAAGGAAAAAAAAAAAAAAATAACAACATATAATTCTATTCGTCTTTGACTCATGTATATGTCTACTCTTTCTCTCTCTTTCTCTCTCTCTCTCTCTCTCTCTCTATTCTTTCATTAGATCTTTGGCATATTTATTTATTGAGCTATTTTCAATACATCACTTTTTCAAGAATATAGGATTTTCATAGTGCTTTTACGCAATTTGTACGGAATAAAAGAGGAGTTGCAGAGAAAAATAAAAATAAAAGTGAAGTTCTCACGTTTTACTTGGTATAAGAAAAAAGAAAATTGGTACACTACCTAGTTACTAAAACATCATGTTAGTTTTACAGTGGTTAGAGTGGGATGTGTTATCATCATCATCGTATAACCTTACTTTAGCTATCATGTTAGTTGTTTCCGTCTTTATGTATATTGCATCATCTATTAACAGGAATTACTCCTGGGTTGATCGTTCATGGTCAATACTACCAGTATTATATACGTGGATTCACATTTATTACAACGTCAAGGATACTTTTCATTTCACTAAAACTACTTCCATTTCTACTGTACTTAAGAATGCCAATATTTTTTATGGTATTATTATAACAGCTTGGGGTATTCGGCTTACATTTAATTTTGCCCGTCGTGGCGGGTATTCACGTGGAGGTGAGGATTATCGCTGGAATTACGTACGGACTTGGCGATTGTTCTCTAACCCTATAATATGGGAGTTATTTAGTTTCTGGATTATTGCACTTTTCCAGACAGCACTTTTATGGGCTATTGCCCTCCCTATGATAAGCATTCGTTCAGTACCTATTAAGGGTGAAGATATTATTATTGGTTCCTGTATGATTTTATTCTTATTATTAGAAACCATATGTGATGAGCAGCAACAACGATTTCAACGCGCCAAGCGTAAAGTGAAATTTCAAGGTAATCCCAGAAAACTCGAAGGACAAGCCGCACTTCTCTCCTACGGATTTTGTATTACAGGTGTCTTTGGATACAGTCGTCATCTAAATGTATTTTCAGAGGAGTGTTTTTGGCTCTTCTTAACAATGGCCGGTGTAGCTCATGGTCAGATAAGATGGTGGCAGTGTACGGGTTGCGTGGCATTACTGTTATTAACGTTCTTTTCAACAGCTTACGTTAACGAAACTATTTCTCGTCAGAAATACCCTTTATATGCTATTTATCAGGAAACTACACCAATGTTGTTTCCATCACTCAAAGTTACCACTGCACGCACAATTTATATGATACAGAAATATTGTGGAAAATCACGATGAAAAAAAAAAGAAAAAATAAAAGCTAATGTCTATCTTTCCTTTCCCCAAACGAAATACGAATCAATAAATTCAAACTGGGCAACGATAAAAAACAAAACCAAATAAAAAACAAAAAAAAACTTTCTTTGCCTAGCTTATCAAAGAAAAAGACTACAACTAATCCACAACAACAACGAGATGAAGTACTCAAAAATAAAATAAAAAAAACATAATAATTTCTACTCCAAATATTTACTGTACAATTCACTCGCAAAACTTCATTCATTACGACACGAAGACATTCTCCGGTTTTCTTTTCAACAACTAAAAAAAGGAATTTTACATAATAAAGAAAACAAACACAATGGATTTCAACAACCAACAAGATATTTGTAATCGCAACGACAAGAAAAAACATTCTCAAGCAACATCCTTGCACAAGGAAGCCTCATCACCTTCAACAAATACCATGCCAACAAAAGAAAAATTAATACAAACATATCAACAATAAATCAGCACGGGTGATGGACAAAACTACTTTTGTGCGCGAGGGCAAGCGGCCCGATGTGCGCACTACTTGATAGCCAAATCAAACTCAACAGGTCTGACTGGCGGCGACTGTGACTGTGGTGTTTCCACCACCTCCCCCTAAAAAAAAAAAAAAATGAAACTAAATATATTGTTGTACCTTTCTGTGCGAGAAGGCGTGCATTGAGACCCGAAACCTTATTCTGCTAGGTTTACGGGAGCATCAACACCCCGAGAGTCCGGTTCCGCGCACGCGGCATATNCTGTGACTGTGGTGTTTCCACCACCTCCCCCTAAAAAAAAAAAAAATGAAACTAAATATATTGTTGTACCTTTCTGTGCGAGAAGGCGTGCATTGAGACCCGAAACCTTATTCTGCTAGGTTTACGGGAGCATCAACACCCCGAGAGTCCGGTTCCGCGCACGCGGCATATATGCAGCGCAACATCCCTTGGGCCGGTGGCAAACGTTCGGTGCCACGCGAGTTGCCCCTGTCCGGTTGTGCGAGATACAGTAGAGATATAGGTTAGATTCATGCTTTTGCAATGATGACATTTTTAGTTTCCTGTCAGACTGACGACAAAAACACTTGAAGACATATTTCTTTAACCCGGTGCCTCGTTCTGTTGGGGCTGGGGTCTTTTTTTTTCTTCTTTGGGGGCGTTGCGGGTTGCCGGACCCCTTTCTCCCCAAACCGGACCCCCTCTGCCGCATCGAGGAAAGCCCGACGAACCCTCGAAAACCCCGAGGTCCCGCCCCCATTTTTTTTTTTTTTGTTCCGGCCCTCCCTCCTTCCCCTTTGCCCCGCCGTGGGGGGTGGCGAAAAAAAAAAAGAAAAAAAGAAAAAAACGGAGGTAATCAATGCGTAGGAGTGCGGGGGTGTTTTTTTTTCGTTCCGGCCGGCGGTTTTTTTTTTTCTTCGGTTTTGGGTCCCGCCGAGGAAGAGGACAAGGTAACGAAAAGTAATTTTTCTTTATTTTTTTCGTTTGTTTCTTCTTTTTTTTTTTTTTCGTCGTTTATATTTTTTTTTCTTTTCCAATCACCCTTTTTAGTGCGAGCGTTTTTCCCGGCACTCCGCAAAAACATTCCCCCATCCAACGCGCAAAACGAACACGATAACTTACAGGATCAATAATGGTTGGATCCCGTCCCGTGTGACCAAGTACTGTGTCAATCCCTGCTTTTACCTTAGATTCAATTACCTTGGCACCTGAATAAGGGTGAAGGTAATCCACTATGCCAAGATAGAGTTTTTTTTCTTCGGCATTCAATCCAACAAGAAGTGAATAATCCATAATAGAACAAGTGGAAAGCATATGAGCCTCAGAAGTTAATCTATCCATTATAAGACTTTTAACCTCATTTCTACAGTAAAAAAATTCACCATTTTTAAGGCGATTAAAAAGGTTTTGATCTAATAATACGGAAGATCCTTCTGGTGAATTTCGATTTCGTCGGCTACCTTTAAGGTCATATGTAACATCAACATGACGTGAGTAAAAGATATTCTCAATAAGAACAAAATATCTTATTTCACCAGGAGTTTCTGAAAATTTTTTTTTTCTTTTAATTTGTATTGAAAATAAACCAAATGTTTTAGCTAAAATTCCACTAAATGGGGCAATATCTGTTGATGATAAAGTATTATTTTCTTCCATTGTATCATATATTTGGCTTATATGAGCAAAATAATTTGGTCCAAATTCTGCAAAATGTTTTAATTCAGCAGATTTTACTTGTTTCATTAAAAATCGTCCATCTAATGAAATAAAAAATTCTGATTTGCTTTTTCCTCCTTCAGGTTTTAATGGACGACATCTAGAAAGGGAAAGCACTAACTCTGAAGTTTTTCCCTTTGTATAAAGGTATTGTAATGCTGCGAATTGTTCTGGAAACATAGCTTCTACAATAACATTAACTTCTTCATTTTTCTCTCCTGGAATTAAAACATTCATAACATGTTTAAATGTTGGTTTCATTGAAAGAGTTCGACCACGAAGTATTTCTAAAGCATCAAAAGTTGTACCGAGAAAATTGGTAGAAGGTAAAAAATCTGACAAACCAATAGTTTCTACCCCAAGCATAACTTCAATAGATTGTTCTAATAATGTTTGTTGAGTTTCATCCACTACAGAAGAATCCACTTCACCTTCTTCTGCTTCTGTGTCTGCTTCTCCTCCTTCTACTTCCGCAATTTCTCTGGAAGAAGTAGTAGTAGTAGTAGTAGTAGTAGTAGTAGGACAATGTTGATTATTACTCTTAATCACAATATTTGGATTTAATTTAGAATTATTACCTGTAGAAAGAGACATTGCTTGAACTGCTAATGCTACAAGAGAAGTTGGTTCATTTAATCTAATTCCATAATTTTCACATGGATTATAGGCCCAATAAGGATCTTCAATTTTTCCAAGTTCAATTGTAGTAGGAAGAGCCTTACTTACCCGACGTTCGGTTGCAAGTACTTTTACATTATACCATTCCAAAAAATCACGCACAAGATTTGGTAAAAACTCAAGTCGTGCAAGTATTACACCTTCAAAAGTATCTAATGTCATTAATTTCCCAAGAAGGTTTTCCGCCTTTTTTAGTAATATTTTACTTTTTTCATCTTCACTAGATAGTGAAAGATCAGTACTTGTACTTGTAGGGGTACGTACATGATTTTGAGAAGGATAGGATTGTTTTATATTTCCTGATTGAGAAATATTTTGTGATTGTTTCCCAGTAAGAATAACCATTAAAGATTGAATAGATGTAATAATTCGCATAACACTCTGTTTTAATTCCTCAATTTCAATACTTAAATATAATTTGGAAACATCTTCACATGGAGGTATCGTTGTATATGGAGTAATAATATCATAAACGGCAAGTGGTTCAACAATAATATTTACAGTAACCTCTGCAATACTATGGGTAAAAAATATAAAAGAAAGACACATACTCTGACTCAGAGAATGTCCACAACTCATGGTAAAAAGAGAAGATGATCCATATATAAAAAGTTCTAAAAATGCTCCCCATGAAATATTAAGAGTATGCATTGAACACTTCGTAGCGGAAGAAGTAAAAAATAAATTTCTTTCACTATTAAAACAATTTTTACAAACAGCATAACAACGCAATTGATGTCCTTGATTACCATCTCCAATATAATCTTCACAATAGAGAGGCGGTAATGAAGATCGAGAAAATGAAGGAAGAACCGATGATAAATTTTTTTCTTCATTCATTCGACGTATTTGAGAATTATTAAAATCCGTTGTTACTTTTACCCAAATACGTTTATTACCATGTAAAATAAGACGTGTAGAGTCACCTTCTTTTATTCTTCCATTTAAATATTCCAATAGTGTTTCATCTCCTTCACTATAAAAAGGAAAAACTTCACGAGATTGTCGAACAGTAAAATTTGGAGATAAATTATTAGATGATACTACTCCAGAAGTAACATCTTCTATTCCATCTCCTACACTTATTCCATCAGGGACACAATTAAGAAATACAGTGTTTACAATAATACTATCTACAATCAAATCATCATATTTTTCATCTATATTGATAACTTCTTCAGAAAAACTTATACCTACATTCATAGATAATGTTTCAATACGATCTTCAACCCGTGGAGAGTTTTTAACAAGTTCAATATATTCTTCACATTCTCCATTATATAAAGATGAAGTTTCTCCCCAAAAAGGTAAATTACTTGATTTTTCACTATTATTAATAATAATATTATTATTATTATTATTATTATTATTATTATTATTATTATTATTATTATTTTTCTGCATATCATCTAATTCTTCACATTTTATACCCAAATCAAATACACAATGGGCTTGAAGAGCGAGATGATATGCGGAAATTGTACAGTTAAATAATATTCGTTTTACTACTTCTAATTCTTCTAATGTACCTCCACGAAGAAGAATAGTTGTAAACGAAAAAAATGGAAGTCCTTTAAACATACAAACCGTTTTATCAGCAATAGGAACAACTTGAAAAGTCTTACAAAATCCAAGGAAAGAAGAATTAGAAAGATCATCAGCACTCACATACTGTAAATCACGAACAATAGTAGCATGACAACATCTAGAGAGACGTTGAAGAGTTGTTTCACCTGCGTGAAGAATAAGAGTTGCATATGAATCTCTTATTATCATTTCTTGTAAATAATGATGCATATTTCCCTCTACAACGATGACAGATGGTTTCCATACTTGAATACGATGATATTGTTTATTTAAATAACCTTTATACCCTTCTGTATATTCCAAGATATCTACACTTGTTGGATTTAAGGAAATACCTACATCACCTGCTAAAAGAAGAATACGAGGAGTTTCAATAAAACTCTTCATTCGCTTTGATACTACAGTTTGTACAAAAGCTATACCAGATATAATTTCCGTATTTACAAAAGAGTCTCCAGGTATAGAAATAACATCAAAGTATTCTGTAACATGTTTATGTAAAGCAATTCTCGTTCCTGAAAGAATTCGCCAAGAGATATCACATATACCAGCAATCCATACCTCCTTCTTTAGATCTACTAAATTTGTAAATGATGATAAAAGAATTTCTTTTTTAAAAAGTTTTGAAGCGCGTTTAATTAAATGCAGAGAACTTAATCTTTCAAAACAATGTAAACCTTCTATCGATACATGTGCAGGGAATATATTTCCTAAACTCCCTAAATCTGAAGAATCCTTTACACGACGAAAAGTTGCCTTTGGATAAGGTATATAATTACTATATGTTTGTTTATCTTTATTGGAGCATTGTAGTAAACTTTTACCATTTTCTTCATTTCGTGCCTTTTTAAGTAATTTGGAAAGCCATACAGACATACTATTAGGACTATATAAAGGAGTATCTGTTAAGGCATAAGATATTTCCTGTTCCTTTTCATTTTCAGCATGTGTTGGTAATCTGGCCATGGGAGGTTGATAAATAATACTTGGAATTGAGTCTTCTAAAGAAATATATTTCTTATCATGTACATTAGAGTATGATAACAACATTTCTTCATTACCACCCAATACTGGAGTATCCTCCGTTTCCGTTGGATGATGATGATGATTACTATTATTATTATTATTGTTGTTATTATCCTTTCTTTCCAGAGATGCCATATTATTATTATTATTATTATTATTATTATTATTATTTCTCGTACTTGTGGTTGGAGAACTAGAAGTAGTTTCATTATTAGACAAGACCATCTGCCGTTTTTTCTCTACTGGATTACGTTGTCGAAGAATACCATCGCATTTTTGACATACTTTCATGTTATTTTCACGTTGTAATCCAATAAGGGATGAAATCACATCCACTAACACTTTACGTACAATTGTTGTAGAGGGTGTGATCAGACAATCACTACAAAATATTTGACCGCAATTACGACAATGATGACGTCGGCGAGTGATGTTAAAACGAGCATCACAAGAACGGCAGCGAAGTGCGTATTGATCTTCCACCCATAATGATCGTGCTGAATGCATAACTATATATATATATGGTTTATACTTTACTTTGTATTTGTTGTTTTTTTTTTCTTTTTCTTCTTCTGCTTGTTAGCCCTTCGCCCTATAAAGCAGATATTCTACAAGAAAGAAAAAAAAAAGAGTAAAAGAAATAAGAAGAGAGAATCCAATAAGAAATAAAAAAAAAAGTAAAAAGCAAAAAACATATTTCAGATAAAAAGATGGAATATATATATAAAGATAACCCCCATGTCCATTTGTTCAACATGAAATAACATTTCAGAGTCATGCCAAGTATATTATTACACTATTCCTTGCATCTTGATAACTAATAAAGAAAATGGAGAACAAATCAGAATAAAGAAGTAAAAAAAAAAAAGAAAAAGAGATAACAGATAGTAAACCTACCACTATCTTAAGTATTTTTTTTTTTTTTTTACTTTCCTTTTAATACAACACAACAGGGATACGGGAAGGAAAAAAAAGCGGTTGTAAGAGAGAATAATAAAAATAAATAAAAAAAAAAATGGGATTTGTGTTGAGGAAAGTAGGGTTAAGGGGTAACCAACAGATAAAGATGAGACAACCCCTGTAGTTTGGAGATGCCGAAAAAAGAAAGAGAGGCAAAAAAAAAAAAAAAAACAAAGAAACAACCTTTTCCATTTCTCCATATTTGCATGATGTATATATATATAAATATATTTTTTTTCTTTCCTTTTTTTTTCTCATCTATTCTTTTCCTTTTTTTTTTCGTTCTTGTTTACCTTCTTCCCATTCATTGCTTCTCTCTGAATTCATATATATATATAAACATGGAAAAGAAAGAAGAGAGAAAGAAAGACAAATGCAGAAGGAAAAGAATAGAACCCACTGATAACGTAGACTATATAATAATAGATAGAGGGGTTCATAAAGTGAAATGAACAGTATGTTTGAGAAGAGAAAAACAAACAAACAAACAAAAACATCACATGGAGAGGAATACGGCAAGAAAAACAATAAAAAAAAAAAAAAAAACCATGCTACTACACATCACCACCCCCTTTTTTTTTTTATCATGTACCCACACTGGTAGGGAATTAGGAATAATCATCTTTTTCTTTTTCTTTTTTTTCTTTTCCTCTTCTCTCTGTTCTTCCGTTTTCATTTTTTCATACTTTCTTTTTTTTCTTTTTCTTCCCTTCTTATTTTCTTTCCGTTTCCGTTTTCGTTTTTGCGATGAAATATTCTTTCATTACACAGAGCAGTCATATACAAATATAAATGTAAAACTCTCTGTGTATAAATATAATAACAAATATGCATAAGCACATGTATTTTTACTTTACTTTTTCACTTTTTTTTTTTCTTTTTCTGTTTTTTTCTCTCTTCTCCCATTCTTCCTACATATATAAATATAAATATAAATATAAATAAATGATAAACTACGCCAATGCTTGTGCCACCACTTCATTTTCTTCTTCCACGTGAACCGATGCATATCCCGTTGACGGTGATGCCACTGTTGGTCGTCCAATGTATTTTAAGAAAGTTCCCTGTTTTTGTGTGAGGCCGAGATGCCGGGCGAGGTGTTGAAAGCGTGGACGCATATACGCCCATGAGCCCATATTCTTTGGTTCCTCCTGCAACCACACAAACTCCACATTTGGATTACGCGAATGATATTTTTCCATCACCTCCGCCACTTGTTCCCATGGAAATGGAGATAATTGTTCCACTTTTACAATCACCACATCATCGTATGATTTCGATGTTTCTTCACTTTTCTTTTTACGGTGATCATCCACAATACTCTCAATTTGTCCTGTACAGAAAAGTACCTTTCGTGCCACAATATCCTCCCTCACCGCTGTATCAATTACAGGCAAAAATTGAGTTCCTTTAGCCATTTCTGCGAGAGAAGAAACATTAGGGGCACGAAGTCGGGCTTTAGAAAAGAAAAAGACAAGTGGTTTATAATCTTCACGTACAACTTGTCGACGCAACATGTGGAAATAATTTGCTGGTGTACTTGGATAACAAACCTGCCAATTAAATTCTTGAATACGAGCCTCTAACAAACGGGCTGCAGGGGCTGTTCGGAAATTGCGTGGGACCTTATCAATATCACTGGAGAGTTGTAAATAACGTTCAATACGCGCCGAACTGTGTTCAGGACCCGCACCGGAATAACCATGAGGAAGTGAAAGCACAAGACTAGACTTTAATCCCCACTTCTCCTCTGCCGTGGAGAGAAACTGATCCACAATTACTTGGGCACCATTGGCAAAATCACCAAACTGTGCTTCCCACATACATAAATTAGATGGACGTTCAATATTATAACCAAGTTCAAATCCACATACGCCCAACTCGGAAAGACTACTATTGCTAATACTAATTAATTCTTCTTCATTTGAAATATTGGCTACTGGCATAAATTTAGTGTTTGTTTCTTGATCGGTTATTACAGCATGTCGTTGTGTAAAGGTTCCACGTTCCACATCTTCACCTGAAAGACGGATACTTACTCCATGTAAGGCGAGAGTTCCAAATGCCAATAATTCTGCCAAACACCATTCCACTCCTTCTTCAGATTCAATAGCCTTTTTACGAGCCGCATATGTACGTTGAACAACTGGGTGAACCTTTTTAACACCACTTGGAATAGTTGTAATATGTAAACCCACTTTTCGTAGAAGTTCAATATCCACTCCAGTTTCTACGGCTTCAGGTAATTCTGCTCTAGTATCTTCATCTGTTACTTGAAAGGTATCCGCTTGATTCTCTGATTCCAATTGAAAACGTGGAACAACTTTAACAAAATCTTGTGAACTTTGTGCGGCATCAAGAGCTTGTCGCATATGACCTTCATATTCTTTTTTCTTTGCTTCCACCACTTCTTTCGTGAGAAGACCTTCGTTTACCAATACCTTTGAATAAACATCCACTAATGTAGGATGAGCACTGATAGCTTGATACATTTGTGGTTGCGTAAAATTTGGTAAATCGGCTTCATTATGACCATTACGGCGATAACAAACAAGATCAATAATAATATCTCGATGAAACTCTTGACGGAATTTAGCAGCAATACGACCTGCACGAACACATGCCTCCACATCATCACCATTTACATGTAATACAGGGGCATTATTAACCTTTGATAAATCACTACAGTAAATACTGCTTCGTGATTCCCATGGATTTGTGGTAAACCCTATTTGATTATTTACAACTATATGTAAAGTACCACCAACATGAAAGTTTTCCAAATCACAGAATCCCATCGTTTCATAACAAGATCCCTGTCCCATAAAAGCTGCATCACCATGAATAAGAATTGGTAATGTTTTGGCACAATCCACATTACCTTCATATACTTGTCGTGCAAAGGCTTTTCCAAGCACAAGAGGATTTACCGCCTCCAGATGAGATGGATTTGGTAAAAGTTCAAGATCAATGAAATTACCATTTTTTAATGGAACTGTTTTGCGATGTCCCAAATGATATTTAACATCACCTATCTGACTTGAATTTTCTCTTGGAGCTTTACCTTCAAATTCACTTAATATATTCACTGTAGATTTCTGAAGAATATTAGATAAGACATTCAATCTTCCTCGGTGGGCCATTCCAAGAATACAAGAAGAAACACCATTATCACTTGCCACCTCTATTGCAGCTCTCATTCCTGGAATAAGTGCTTCTCCTCCATCAAGACCAAAACGTTGTTGAGTTCCATACTTAATATGTAAAAAATTTTCAAAACCACAACTACGTACAACATCATCAAATATAGTGAGACGATCCTGAGGGTCCAGTGGTGTAAGTGTATTTAAAATTTCCTGACGAAACCAATTACGAAGATCAAAGTATCCACACGACATAAATTCAAATCCAATGGTTCCACAGTACATACGGCGAAGTTGCTCAACAATATCTTTTAATTTTCGTGCAGTTCCTCCACTGATAAAGGTTGCCTCAAAGTTACAACCAAATGAGACATTAAATACTCGATCCATATCTTCTCTTGTAAATCCAAATCTTTCAGGATCCAAAGCGGAAGGATCAAGAACATTTTTATGTCTTTCTTGTGGATACGGTAATGGGTTTAATGCGGCAATATAATGCCCATTCCTTTCATAGGCTCGAATCATCCAAGAAAGACTCATATTTTGCATTCGTTCTCGTTCTGTCAAAGTACGTGATGAGGTGGGTCGATGAAATGAGGAAACCAATGGTTTTTCCAGTGAACCATTTTTAATATTTTCAAGGACTGGAATCCAACTTGGTTCCACTAATGCGGGATCCTTTTCATATTGTTTAAGTAAACCATCAATATACTCCTCATTCTGTGCATCCACCAATTGATCGAGTTGATTGGGTCGACGAATTGTTTTGGCGTCTGTGTATGAACGGATGAGAGAGTGTGGCGGAGTGGCAGTCATGCCACATGTGAAGACACGTCGCATCATTACTCCCTGAAAAGAAAAGACTGTTTTTTTTTTTTTGTTTTCTTTGCTATTCACACCACCCTATTTATATAATAATAATAATAATAATAATAATAATAATAATAGACTGTACGATACGAAATATATATAAACAATTATAAATATATATATATATATATTCCTTAAGCGCAACTGATTCCTCCAGGTAAATGAGACAGAATTTCTAGCAAAACTTACCTAAAGGGTTTGAGAATAAATGTAAACGAAGAAAAAGAAGAAAGAAGAAAGAAAATAGATATCTTAGAAATATAAAAGACAAATAGTGTACGAGTAAACTCCCCTAATATAACCCCATTGAGGGAATTCAGTCTTTCCCTTCCCTTCTCTCTCTATATCTCTTTCATTCATTCATTCATTCTTTTACTTCTTCATAAGAAAGAAAGAAAAAAAAAAAAAAAAATGCACAACACAAAGCAAAAACAAAAGAACCATTTCCATTAACTTTCCATACCAAATGCCTGTACTAAATAGTCATGCAAACTATCTTTTGTCCATCCCGCTAAACTCACCTCCAACTCCGCTCCGCTGTTTTTATCTTCCAGCACAAGACGAGGCCACCACGCATTATATCTCGTTACAAATGTTAAACGTGATCCAAACTTCTCTTTATAGTCGCGGTGAAACATTGTGATTTCACTACGTGGTTCACTCAGTTCATTCTCTACGGATCTTAATTCAATACGAGCATGTGTGTAAATACGCTTCTCTGTCTGATCATCCTCCGTACAACAGGAGAGACACTCTTGATGAAGGGCCGCACTCTCTGTGTGTTGGAGGAGTGATGGACAATAACGACACTTCACTTCTCCCTTTTCAAAGCCAAGTGAGCGACACTCATCGGCGGTGCGTTCATTCTTATTATTTTTACCACCAACCAGAACAACACCCACAAGGTTGTGGGAAATAAACAGAATAATACTTAATAATAAGAGACTTCGCATTATACTAGACATCTACCTAAGAAATAGAGCGAAAACAATAAAAAGAACAACAACAAGAAGAAACGATAAATATAGACAGGTATGAGAATAATAATGAAAAAAAGAAATTGAGAACACATATACAGGGTCAGGATGATCACTATATACTTTTTTTTTTTTTTTTTTACAAGAAAATGTAAATGGGTTCACCAATAATGGTCATACCAAGACTTTCTGGACATGAGAGGAAAATAAAAACAAAAAAGTATATACTACTTTTTATTTTTATTTACGTCTTTTTTTTTTTTTTTTTTTTTTTGTTATCTTTACTGTTTCTTCTTGTTTTAACTTTCTCATCCTTCTCGCCTCTCTCTGTGTGCGTACGGAGAAATTTCCAGACATATACATATATACATGAATATTTCCAGCTTATCAATAGATGAAAAAGAACACGAATAAAGGTAGAAAAAAGAAAAAGAAAAAAAAAAAAAAA